TTGAATGCCACTGACTTCTCCTTAAGGCACTTCTAGGGCTGAGCTAGAATCCAAGAGTTGGTTTCAGATGGAGAAATCTCACACCCTATGGAGTTAGCATAAAGTGCCCTTGATGTCTTAGTCTTGTTCCTTCAAGATCAAAATCTAACTGGGTTCTCTAGGATCAAAAACCTGCTAGTAGTCCTAACAGATTTACAAGCAATACATACGAAGAAAACTATCACATTAAAAATTTTTGGTCACAATGCTTAGGGCTTAAATCCTATGATGTTTATAGACACATACCCAAACCTAATAAAGGAAACTCTTCCTTTATTCAATCATAATTGTGCCATTATTTTAATTTTTCCACTGTGCCTACAACGGCAAGGAGAAATTTCTGCCACAATTTTGAAGATTCCAATCTAGTCATTCTACTAGATTCTCATTTATATTGCCATCACCATTAACTCCAGTATTAAGCCCGGTGGCTAGGAGTTCTATGTTGAACATTATATTGTCTACTGAAAGAGTCTCCCAAGTCATCTCTGACTATGCTGATGACTCCTCTGCTTGTGAAGACCTTTTATTGCATTGCAGAGATCTGCATGATTATTACTAGATTTGCATGATTATCACCAACCATCATTTTCAGACCAACCTTTTATCACCCAATGACCAGATAAAGATAATCAGATTAAATAGCTACCGTATATATTCATTTCTTTCTGAATTTTGAACCATCAGCATATCCGTTCAACTTTCTCCCTGAGAATATTACATCCTGCACAACACAGTTTCTACAGCTTCCAGAGATGTTAAGGCCTAAATATCATAAAGTGAATTCATCAATAAATCTATAGAAGCTCTACAGTTACATCTCCCCTTTTTCTATATGCTCTCATACTTTGGGGTTTATAGTTTTAGAGATTATATTAGCTACTGACCATTAGGAGGCACTATACAACAAGGTTTTTTCCTTATTGGGACAATTCAGGCACTGTATAGAGAATACCTATGACTGAAAAGTACTAATAAGGTTAAAAATGGTTGTGTAATGTCTTCTACAAGTTAGCAGCCAATATAATATCTCAACAACTCTATATATTCCAGTTTATCCACATCAACTCTTAAGTAATAGTAGTCATCATTATATTCCAGCTTTCCTTCCGTTTGTAAGAAAAAACATGTGGCAGCTTTCTGATGATGTACCACCAACCTTGAAAAAGCAAGGAAATTTGTATCAGGCCAAATGGGGGAGGGGGGATTGCCAGTTTTTATTTTCAACAAGTTCTGCAGTTGTGAATGTGACAAAGAACAAATCTAAGACTAAACCACACTTTGTCAGAGTGGATGAGGAAGAAAGAAAACTGACTTCATAAGGAGACCTGCTTAAGGCCTGCTTAGCAACCCACATTTTCTGTGTGATAAACCTACTTCTTTATTTTCTCATCTATCTTAAGAAAAGTGAAAGACCAGTTTTTCTTCTCATAGGCATAAGTATTTCTTTAAGCAGATTCTTTTGCTTTAGTTCCAATTTGTGTCACATGAAGTTAGATCACATACAGAAGATCTTCCTTTTGAGGACAAAGGTTGCTTTAGTTTACAAACAGGTGACACCCACACACGTTCAGAGAAGCAACATGTAATTAAGTAAGAGTGGTTGTTTATAGTTAATCTACCATATAGGTCATGTTTACTAGGCAACTGACTGATAGTAGTTTGATCCCATTCTGTGCTTCAAACTCACTTCTGCAAGATGCTCCTGCTTTTCAGATGTTATCTGGATTTTTGAATACGGGATATTCATGGACTGCACTAATGGAGTCCCCGGTTAATTGATGTTTTTTATCACTAGAGAATGGCCCTTGCTGCCAAGTCTGAACAGAAAGGAATGGCATCCAGGACTATATGTTTCTTCTTTCTTGAGCAGATCTGTACTATACATGGTTTTTCCTATTCACCACTTATCAGCTTACTTAACCAGCTCTCCAATGGAGACATGGTGTACATTCTGATATCACCACCATCATATTCCAGATATTTGTACAATGTTAGCTTTTGTATTATTGTACCTCAAATGTACCTCTTGTACTCAATCCAAGAGTCTAGGACAATTTACTGGGGCTGCCTGCCATGCCTGCTTCACCCAGGGTCCCCCACTACAGCCGATCCACTATGGGCATTCATCTTCAGCTGGCGCTCCACCAGTGTTTTCCCACCACCACTGCTCCTCTGCCTCTGGTCTCCTGTCCATTCGATTTGCAGAGGGACACTTGTCTCCAGCCAATTGGCTGAGAGGGACAATTAGGCGAGTATCTTGGCAGCCAATCTGCGTGACAAGGAGTGGGACGCAATTGGATGTGGTGGCACTGGGTGCGGCGGGCAGTGCCCCACAGTGCAGGCAGACATAGTGGTGCCAGGTGGGGTAAGCAATGGCCTTGGGTGCCAGGGACGCAGGGGACATGACAGCTGCTGTGCAGGGCAACCGGACTGCTCTCTCCACCAGGCAAACCTTCCTGAGGGCAGCAAAGCACCCTGCCATGCCCAAAAGGAAAGCCTGAGTTCCACCCTGCGCCTTCTGCTACTGCTACCACCTGTTGCATCCTGCCTAGCTCTGCTCTGCACCCAGCTCCTCTGGGATGTTCAAGCCTTCCTTTTGGGGGTGGCAGGGCACTCTGCCACCCCTGGGAAGGTGCACTTGGCAAAGAGGAGCAGCCCAGTTGCCCTGCACTGCAGCCATCATGTCCCCTGCATCCCTGGTGCCCAAGGCCATTGCTTACCTCACCTGGCACCACCATGTTCAATGAGAATATAGAGACCCATATTTTGGTGTGTGGATTGGCTGATGGGATATGCGGCTAATTGTCTCTCACAGCCAATTGGGTGGGGACAAGTGTCCCTCTGCGAATCACCTGGAATGAGGGAGTGGGGGCCCAGTAGCGAAGGAAAACCCCACTGGAAGGCCAACCTAAAATGAATGCCCATAGTGGATTGGCTGCACCTGGGGATCTGGAGTGAAGCAGGAATGGCTAGGCAGCCTTGGCCAATTGTCCCATTCTGCCATCCAACAGCTCTTTGTTTGCTGTCAAGATGGAAGAAAACTCTATTCGGTTTTTGGGAAAAACATTGTCCACTAACAGTCAGCTCTGTCCCTAGTCCATGTACTAGCATTAGGACTTCTGGAACTTGGTTGATACCTTGACCTTCATCCAGAACTGCAGTTCTTTCAGTGGTCACATGAGTATTTGCATAAAACACTCAGCACCCTTTCTATAAGTATAGATAAGAATTCTGGTGGAACACTAGTGAGTCTTTAGATTGGTTTACCAAATGATGAAAATATTTGATTCATGGGGAACAGGAAGCTTTAGATGAGAAAACTCTTCTGCTTACTTGCTACATAGCAGCTATTGAATTTGAGGTCTGGCAGCCACTCCGTATTATAAGCTTTTACTGCTAGGTTTACATATCAGTATATACATTACATATTCCTCCTCCTTCTGTTATGTATTCAAGATGGACAGTGATTAGTATTTATATGTTGCTTATATGTAAGGGTGTAGGTCTATACACATGTTGTATATGGAATGTTTAAATGTGTATTATGTATGTGTACACTTTGAGAGCAAGCAACTAAATTTCATTTTTAATGTGTGCCACTGTGTTCACAGTAAAAATGACAATAAAGGTTATCTATCTATCTATCTATCTATCTATCTATCTATCTATCTATCTATCTATCTATCTATCTATCTATCTATCCCACACTATTTGTTTTAACCATCAAAGAAACAAAATAAATACTTATGGAATAATATAATGTATAACTTAATATATAACTTCAATTCCCAGAATTCCTCAGTACATCTAACTTAAAATTCCTGAATTTGAGAAACACTGGTTTATATATACCACAGTAGAAGGAAAAGTTAAAGTTATCATCTGGACCTCTAAAATGTTTATGTTTGTGTTTGTGTCCCATCTTGCAGTCTCAGAACATTTACTATTATGTCTTCAACTGTGAAGGCAAGAGTTGAAGATGGACAACAATTAAAAGCATTGGAACAGATTGCCTGTAAAGGAGACTGCTAATTTTCTGTAAGTTTTTATTATCTTTCAAAGACATGTGAAAACTCCTTGGCTATGGAAGAGAGAAATAAAGAGAGAGAGAGAGAGAGAGAGAGAGAGAGAGAGAGAGAGAGAGAGATTGACCATGACCAAACTCATACCTTTGATTATGTCCTCCAGCAATAAATCCCTCTTAACTCTGTATTGTAATACCCACATTTACCTTTCCGTTTCTGTGATTTGGAGAGAGATGGGCAGACTGGATGCTCAGATTCCTTGGGCTTATTTTCCAAGACTTTGTGGGATGTGATGACAATAATTAGGAAGGAAGGAAGGAAGGAAGGAAGGAAGGAGGGAGGGAAGGAAGAAAGGAAGGAAGGAAGGAAGGAAGGAAGGAAGGAAGGAAGGAAGGAAGGAAGGAAGGAGAAATAAATTATCCCTCAGAAGATAAAGCAGCAATTTTCTCACACTTTCCTTCTTTCCTTATGTCCTTATGTTTGGCCTGCAGTCTTTTTTAGAGCAATTGTTTCCCACTGCTTCTCTGTCTGCAAATGAATCCACTTATCTGCAGTACTTTCATTAGTAACTCTGAGAAGATTTCCAGAATAGGCTTGCATTTATCTGCAAATGGCAGCAGAATATTCTTTTCTACCTGCTGGAATAATTTCCTACCGTCTTTACACAGAGTACATCCTTCTTGCCTGGTGAAACTATTAATTCTATTGGTGAATATTTCACCCAGAATTAGCTTTTGAATTCTTCTGGAATTCCCCTGCCTAGGGAAGTCCACATTTCTGGAGGACATTCAAGTCGGACCGTATATAGTTTATTACAGAAGAATGGGAAAAAGCAGTCCTACTTGCAAATACTTCATCTGCATTACTTCAAGATAAACATGGGAGAATTATCCCTTGCTGCTGTTCAATGTCAGTGCTGATGGTTTATCTTACCAGTGCATTGTCTTAGCAGTCTTCCTTTGGAAGCTGGACCCTGCCCCTGGGATTCTGTAACAGACAATAAAGAAATATGAACCAGAAACACAATGTTGGTGCTTTATATGGGGAGGGGAGGGCAGAGACCTGTATTACAACTCTATGCTTTCTTTTGTTTTTAAGAGAACAAACTTCTAACACTGATGATTGCTCAGCCTAAGAGTCAGTCATAACTCCTGGCTCCATTCTATGCCACGCTGGAGAAGTTCAACCTCTGTTCTTTCTGCTGATTAAAAGGAGCATCATGCAGTTAGATTTCATGAGAGTCTCAAATCCGCAAAGTCTGCTTTAGAGCACTAGGCAACCAGCGTAAGTTTCAAACCTTTGCTCTGGAATAGCTAGAAAAAGAAAATATGTGGACAGCGGGCCTGGGGGTGGAAAAAAAAGAAAAATGTCTTCTATAGATTCCACCTCTCCCATCTTGCAGCTCCTTCCTGCTGAGGAGAAAGCTGGTTTCCTAGGAGACTGGCAGCTCCCTGTAGCTAGGATAGGAAGGTACGTGTATGTGTGTGTGGAGAGGGAGAGACAATTACAGATTTCTCTCTGACAAAGGTGCTAAACGAAGGGAAATATATTCAGTACATACAGTATGCCCCTAGTGAGTGGGATCCATAGGTAACAGCAGGAAAAAGCCCCTTAAATAGAAGTGTGTCACTACAGTAACAGCCCACCTGCCTAAAACTGCTTGACCTCAGGAATCAACCCTCCTCACTCCCTATTCCTCACAATATCCTTTGAGATATCATCCCAGGTTCAAGCGAACACGTTTTTTAATTTATTGCAAGTGATCATCTGGTTCAGTTAAGGTTCGAAAGCAAAAACTGAAAACTCATACACAAACACGGACAGGGACTTATTCATCTTTCAAAAACAAGGAAAAATTCAGAATTCGATGCAACTATTAAGTTCACACGAGATAATTTCAACTGTAGCCTAGGAAACAAGGCAGTGATTGTATTACCTGGGCTTCTAAGGCCTGCCTCTGTAGCCTACTTGAACGCATCTTGGAGCAATTGTTTAAAACAAAATACTAGACTTTTTCTCTGTATCAAACAAAAAGCCAGTGCAATTCTCCAAAATGCCTTTGGATATTCTGATTGTGGACTTCAATAATGCAATAATCCCAGGCCAGCTTTTTCTGCTTGTCACTCTCCATATGTAACTCCCATAATGCCCAGAAAACCAAGGAAACTTGCCTTCCTTCTCTTTCAATCAAGCATGTAAATGTGCTAAATAGTCCAGTGTTTCTCAACCTCAACAACTTTAAGATGTATGGACTTCAACTCCCAGAATTCCCCAGCCAGCACATGAATTCAGAGAGTTGAAGTCCACACAACGTAAAGTTGCTGAGGTTGAGAAACACTGCTATAGAGTGACATGGAGGCCGAGAGGCCACATAAGGAGCAATAAATTATTCCTATCATGTTAATCAAACAGGGTAAACAAGCACAGTCAGTGCTAAGCAGTCAATAGTGGTACTTGACTGACTAAAAATAAACTTATAAGAACAACTTTTGAATAAGAAGTATTTTCAAAATGTGCCTGTCTCAGCACTGCCAATCTCAGCCCGAGAGCTCTGGTTTTCCCATTAGTTTGCCCTCTTCTTTCTGAATCGTTCTTTGTCTGGCTTACCTCCTGGTTTATACAAGCCAGTCATCTCCCTCACAGTGTCATCTGAATCCTGAGCTTCTTCTTCTTCTTCTTCTTCTTCCTCCTCTTCCTCCTCCTCCTCAACATCTTCAGCATAATCTTCATCCATCCAGGAACTGTTGGATTCCAGATGACTTTGTGCTAGGCGTTGCACAGCTGTCATTAAAGAAAAAAAAAAGATGACAATGCAGAAATATTATAAGAGAAATGGGAAGGTGGGGGTATTTAGTTTGCTTTTTAGAATTGTGAAGATTTTTTAAAAGATGCTTGTAGATTCTAATGGCATAAATAACATCAATAAACAAAAAAGCCAACCCATCCTTAAAGCAATAGTTGTAAGATGTTTTAAAAAATCCAAAAATCATTAGGCAGATTTCAGATAGCCTGAACTGCACCAGCTCTAAATTATTTGTTCCTCTTCCCTCCCCCAATATCTCTCCCAAGAAAGTTTTTGTAGTGAATACAATCTGATGTACTTCACTGATGTTGTGTCCTTGGTACAGTCAGATTGATGGGATCAGCCTGGCATCTGCTGGCCACTTTAAGCTGGTGCAGGTATGCCCCTATCGCCCTGATGCCTGGGCATTCTCTTCCAGGACAGTGGGAAAATTCTCCAAGTTGATTCCTGGCTCAGAAATGAGGACCAGCTAAACAGCAGCTGAGTGATGGCAGTATACAGTGAAGCAGAGAGACACAAAGTTGGCTCCTTCTCTGCTGCTTTGTGGTACAACTTTCCCTGATTCTATATGTTGTTGCTCGGGCTGTTTTGGGGGGCTGTTTTGCCCTGTGTGCTGATGGAATAGTTCTAATATTTCTAACTACTGATAACAACTAACAGTGAGGTTCCTGCTAAAGTTCCTCAGATGCTTGCAATAATTCTCTTTGAAATTTAGCACACTGACAAGGAATCTAGGGCATCACATGTCTCCATATCTCCACATGAACATCCTTTACAATAGCCACAGCAAACTAAAATAGAACAGCTTTTACCAAGCCACAGAGAAGTTATATATAGAGACATAATACAGAATTAAATCTTGGATTTCTTTATGTTAGCCTAAGAAAAAAGGACTTTTCTTACGTTTGGCTATTATGTCCATCTGCACAATGTTTTCATAACAGATTTCTCTGCTTCCAATCTTTCCTCTTCTCATCTTGCTAACTTCAACCCTGACAGCTTCTTCTGAACACACCCGCACAAAATATTTGTTCAAAACCAGTGCAAGTTTTGGCAGATGGCTCAACACACTAGCCTAGCCATCTGTTAAAACCCACTTTCTCTCCAAACTCAGCTCTGCCCAACATTAAAAAGGATGACTGGTGGATATATTTCTGCCAGTGATGTTTGGTGGGAAGGAAGGCAAACAAAACTGGGGGAATCCACCTGCCCTACCCTTAACTGCCCTGTGTGCTGAAACTAAGGTCAGCAGCATTTGCTTGTGTAATTCCTGTGGCAGAATAGGGATGGGTAGACAGATTTCACTAGTTTTGTTTTACTGGGGGGGGGGTTTATATTAAAATAGTTTTTGCTATTTCAAACACAAATGGAAAACTCTTTTGATGTGAGGAAGAGTTCTGAGTTCAAATTTCAACCCAGAAATTGAACCACACTGGGGAATTATGTCTCAACTGCCCCATTTTTAGACTGCTGTTTTGTGGAAAAAAAAGGAGAGGACAAATATACAACCTGAACTCCAAGAGGAAAGATAGGATATGCATATAATTTTAAAACATTAAAGAACAATGTAAAATCAGTTTCATCTCTTCTATGCCAGCTCTTTGCTAACAAGGTTGAAAAACTAAAGGTTATTAATCCTGAAGTCAATATTTGGAAAAACTCATTGCATAAAAACCTGGGGCCTTCTTTCCCTGAGAACTGAAACCTATTATGATGATTTTGAAGCTGGTGCTATGGTATCCAGAACACCCACCACCACACCCACACTGGCAATTTTGCAGCCTGAACTCAGGATTTGCAATGTCCAATTTGCCAGAACTGCAATATCAAAGAGAATTGGTCTAATAGCTATGGCCAATCTACATAATTCTCCAAATTTCACTGCTAGTATTCTAGCAGAATTTTAAAACAAAACATACAATTCTTCCAAAGATTGCAGTAAGTATTGTAATGTATTTACTGCAGTACATTAATCATATGATATCACTGAAAGAATATAAATACCCTTGACTGGAAGCAGAGGGAGGGAGAATCTTCTGCCAGTTGGAACCATAGCAAGAAGAACAAGAAATTCAATGATTTACAAATCATTTGTTGAGAACTCCTCTACATTATGTTCATGGCACTAAATCCTGAACTACTTCACTTGCTTTGATGGATCTGATTTGACAGCCCTCAGGGAATGGTGAAAGCATCCAGAGTAACAGCTCATTTCATCTCCTGGTTTTGATTCAACAATCGCATTGATGTATTAAGTGTGAAAAGAATTTCTTTGTATGCTTAAATCTTTTTCAACGTTGGTCACAAGCAACTTGAAGTACAGGTACACGAGGAAGAATCAAAATGGGATAGAAAATGAACTAGTCAATAATTAAGGACTCAAATGGAATATTAGCAGTCTTTTCTTGATCAGTGCCTGAAGGCATTCCCTCCAGATTTGCCTCCTGTCATCTATAGCCAGTTGCTTTTTTTTGACAAGGCACTCCAGCAAGGCCATTACTTACAGGAAAAAACCTCCAGATCTTGCAGTTCAAACTTTATCTTGGCTCTTTATCTTGTCCTTTTGATCTAAACATCAGGGCATTTTTTTTCTCAATTTATTTTTAGTTTGCCTGAATGTTCTCATAAGATCCAAAAATGATTAGTGATACATCCAGTGGTCATATATCTTTTACTATAAAGGACAGTCCTTTATTTCAGAAAGCTGTTTTTCAGATGTCTTTTTGTTTTTCAAAACCGACTTTTATTTTTCGTTTTAGTCATTTAACTTTCACCATACAAATGGTTCAACTTTTAATGCATCATCTTTCACATTCATGTGAAAAATATGGAAATTGAATTGTCTTTTTAAAATAAATTTACATATTCTGTTGGGTTTTATATATTATTAGAGTATGCAAAACCAAGTTTTTCTTGGTTTTGCTCCTGAATTTTTCTTTGTAAAGCAAAGTTATAAACAATTAATTTTCTTTATCCTTATAAATCTCTTTTAGATTTGCCTCTTTTTCAAGTTTGTCCTTTATTTTTCAGAGAAAATAAGTTCAATGTAATTATAACATGTCCAGAGTACAAGAGCATGTTCTGACATGACTTTGACTTGACAGGTGCAAATCCCCCTACGTTTGTAATGCTTTTCCCAGTTCTAATGGACAACCCTCCATTTGAGAAAGTTAGCAAAAGAGGACAAAATAAGACATAGATTTGCATAAAATAGGCATATGACAGTTTTTACAATGATGTCCATTTAAAAATTATTCCTAAATAGATAGTCCTCACTTAACTGCTGCAATTGGGATCTGCAATTCTGTCACTTAATGTGCAATTCATTTAATGTGGTCATTAAATGAAACATGACATGACTATACCGGATTTACTGTGGCAGTTCCCCTGTGGTCATTTAGCGAATCACTATAGGTCAGTGATGGCGAACCTTTTAGAGACCGAGTGCCCAAAACCGGCCCGCCCCCCGCTCCACCCCCCGCTCCGCCTGCCGGCAGGGCCATTCACCATAGATCGCCCAGGCAGCCTTGCAGCGCCATGGCGGCCACGCCCTCCGCCCGCACCCTGCAACATCATCTGCATGTGATAGGACGCGAGGGCAGAGTCTTGCCCCTGCTGCCCGGCTGCCATGTGCTTGGCTGTGCTCCTCCGTGTGGGCCGCGCCTGGTGGAGCCTCTCCTCTGGGCAGTGTGGCATGACATGACTGGAACTTGTGACTTCTTGAAGGTTTCCCCATTAACTTTGCTTGTTGGAAACTGGCAGCGAAGTTTGCAAATAACAATCACGTCACTATGGGTTGCTGCAACCATTGTAAATAGGTGCCAGTTGCAAAACTACCAAATGGTGAGGATGCTATGACAGCCACAACTTTAAGGGCTGGTCATAAACCTACTTTCAGCACTGTCATAATTTTGAACAATCACTGAGTGAAGCAGTCTGTAAGTGAGAATGATCTGTAGTTTAAATGTAGATACAGTTTGAATCCAAGACTTAATCCCTGCTTCTCTGCCCACCTATGTGGAGGGGAAACCATTTTTCCTCTAGATCCTTATCAAAAGAGCACATCCACAACTTTTTCTCCCCTTAAACAGTATTCAGTATTGTCATCCAAATTGTTCTTTTAGTCTTAGATATTATAGTTACGAGTATGATTATTTTTCTCTGACTCATCATTTAGGTAATTCGAATACCCTCTGAACTTTAATGATACTGTAAGTCTGATCAACGAGATTTAAAATTTGCCATATGACTTTGCAGTTACAGAAGCTCTACAGGAAACCAAATTAAATGTACACCTCCCAATAATAACACAAGATTTGGCAGACAAAACCTCAGTTGACAGAATTAAAGGAGCATTAACAAAGGTTTATTGAAAAACAAGAGATTAGCGGCCTTAGAAAATAAAGTGCTCAGGGTAGGGCAGGAATTTTTCTCATAATGCCACACAACAGAGATCTGCTGAGGAGTTTGCACAAATAGTTTCCTTGTCTAGCAAATTTGGCAGGAATCTAGTCCTCAGTGAGAAATGGGTTGTTTGGAGAAGAATCGCAAAGCAGAAAGACAATATCTTTTGTTATAAGAAGTTTGGGGGAGTGGGGGGAGGCAGGCAGTGTCAATTCCTTTTTTTAAAAGTGTTCTAGTTCCTTTGAAGACACACCTTGTTTTGGATTGCTTTGTGTAATTCTGCTCCTTTATGAATTGTGCTTTTATAGAGTTCATTGCAATATATGTGCTCAATTTGGGAATGCAAGACTGATTGGCATTAGACTAAGGCAATCAGGCTGGGCTGCACATTACAGATAACATTTAGATGGCAGAAAAAGGATACTAAAATTTGTCATGCTCTGCTGCCACTTTGTGGTCATCCAGATTTTTCAGATCTGCGTAAATAAAATAAGTAAATGCCATACTAGGTCAGGGTTTTTCGAATTGTAGCTCGTAAAGCCTCAGGGAGTTTTATTTATTTATGGTCAAATTC